GGAAGGGGTAGGGGATGCGGGCCTCGACGACATCAAGCCCCTTATTGGCAAACCCGTCGGCGCGGGTGAGGATGGGGGAGAGGCGCTTTTGAAGGGGCTCGGTGTAGGTGAGGACGTTCTTCGAGATGGTCGTGACGGCCGCGTAAGGGGAGCGGGTGTACGGGCTGTTGGTGAGGGTGGAATTGATGGTGTTGAGAGAGTCGGCGACGAGGGGGATGGAGCCGACGCGGGTGAAAATGGTGAGCTCAGGGGTCTGAGCGGGGGCCTCCTGGGTTTGCGTGGCCATTTCTGTAGAGCGCGACGAGGTGGGGGTCGAGCGAGAGGAAGGTTCGAAAGCGTGATAAGCTGAAGGCGTCCAGGAGCGCATATATGAAGGTGGGCGTTGACATGTGATTGTCCAAAATCGAGCTTCGTATCACTCCCACGTGGCCGAGAGCGCGCTCGATCTGTCGCGGTGCTGGCCCCCCGCCCTGGCGCGCCTCGCGCCTTGCCTTCCTCCGCCCTCCGACCCGAGATCCCGATGGTTTTGCTGCAGGGTAAACATTCCCTCCTCCTGCGCTTTTCACGAGTTCCCACCGCCCGCACAATCACAGGCCTCGCCGACACCTTCAAGTTGATACCGTCGTTTTCCCGGGCGTCGAGGCCCAAGGCCAATGCGTCCAGAGCCCGCGCAATCAGTGCGTCCACGCGTCTCTTTCCATGCCCTGCGAGCTTAATCCTTGGCGGTCCGCATATAGGTGCCTGTTGGGCCGTCTGCGAAGGACCAGACCTCATGCGACTTCTCATCGAACGTTCCCCGGGCCAGGTGGCGTATGCACAATATTCAAGACCAAAGGGCCGCACGCTCTAGGTCAATGTATCCAAGCCAGCCCCAGAAGGATCCAGTCAGCTGGGAGCACGCTGGGATAGCTAGACGTTGGATCGGGTTAGACTATGAGTTTAGAGCGGTCCGAAGGTACGTTCTTCTCTGTCGATCGTTCCTTGGAGCAGAGCTTTTCCCCGTTACTTCCTGCTCTTCGTCCCTGCAGGCTGCAAAGACCTTCTCACGACCCTGCGGAGCAGCATATACTCACCTCGTGGTGAGCCTGCTCTCACGGGAAGGGCCCGTACGGCAATGTTCCTACTGGCTCTTCGTGTCAATCCTCCCAGGCATTCAGTCCTCTGCAGCGCTGGCTTTCACGGTGGACTGATTGCTCCCTCCCTAGATTCCGAGGCTCGCTGGTATCAAGTTTTTGACCAGTGCCCCCATCGTCTTGTCGCACCATCGGCTTTCGCATCTTAGCGAAGAGGAGACCGAGTCAAACAAAGCCAAGTGCAAAGCGAGCGCAAGGGTCGTAGTTCTCCAGTCCAGAGGATCCTTCATCACGTTGCTGCGAAGGTGCGCAGTTAGCAATCGAGCCTAGGCTCCCTCGATGGCATTCATTGGCTGACGCAAGCGTCTCCCGCAGAACGCGCGAACCTTCTGTGTGTCGCAGGTTGGCCGTCGGGGTCGTTGTCAAGTTTGGCCCTGCTGAAGACGCTACGAGCAAAGGTGTGATTCCCATGGCAGATCAGAACCCGCAGAGGCCGTTGTGATCACTCCTAATACCCTGGACACGAATCAAACCAACACGCTCAGCGCTCGACGTTTCGGCCTTTCAAAGTCGTCAAGTCGAATCCCCACGGTCGCGGTCAAACAGCGCATCAACCGATGGTCCCTCTTCCGCGTCATTGCTGAGCAGTAATAGGGGGGTTTGGGAAGGGTAGCGGAGTCACGATGCGAGCGCAGGAGTATATATCCGCGGAGCGCGATCAGGGAGAGGGTGCGTGCGAGTGTCACTCGTTCATTCCGAGCTGACCTGAGTAGGTCTTCGTAAAGAGGGACTCCGATCACTCTATCGCTAGGGTGAAGCACCCGTGGAAGCACTTATGTTCGCTTTTCCGGTGTATATATGCGTTTTTCGCCGAACGGTATGGACATCTCCACCGAACATGATACAGGGCTCTAATACCCTGTCCGTATTTAGCAGGGCATATATAGATGACCAGGTCACAAGACCGGGTATACCCTATGACTATCAGGTGTTGGAACAGGCTCGTCTCACGCCTTATCTTACGTCGCCATCCGTTGCTCCTTCCCAACAAGACGCCCTCAAGTCTCTGCGATGGCATCGCACACACATTTGCAGGAGGAGTTGGCGCAGTCATCGGAGAAGATCAGTGTGAACACCCAACACGGGACGATCCGAGGACGCAGAGCAGCAAACGGAGCCGCCGTCTTTCTTGGTGCGCACTATCTCTCCTAGGGGGCGTGGTCGATCTAACCCTGATAACGCCCGCGATCTGCTCCACTAGAGGTTCCATATGCGCTACCACCCAAGAGATTCGCCGACCCCGTTCCGCTGCCAACCGACTACAAGTACGAAAACAAGGAGTACATCCTTGAAAGTAAACGTAGGTCACCTTGTACTTGTGGCGTCATCTGACATCTTATCTGAGAGGTGATCGCGTAGATTGCGCACAGCCGAAGAACGACGGCCAGGCGGCAAGTGAGCAGCGCTTCACGTCCTGTTAAGCATCAAGCTTCTGAGCTTCAAGCGACATGCAGGTGTGCCTTACGAGGACAAAGTAGGCTTGGGAGAACCCAGCGAAGATCCGTAAGATCGTCCCGATCTTGCCTCGTGCTCGCTTGTCGCTCACTCTGGACATGCAGGTTGTTCGTAAATATCGTCGCACCATCCTCATTCCCTGAGAAGACGGGTTTCCCCGTCAAAGTATACATTCACGGCGGGTAAGCACCCATCTTGGCGTGTCCTAATAATCGGGGACTGACGGTGTATGCTACTAGTTTTCTCCAGTTCGGTTCCCCACACGGGCTCAGCGCGCAAGCGCAATCTGTCTCTGCGGAACGCGACGAAGTCTGGGTGAACATTGGGTACAGACTCTCCGCCTTCGGATTCCTTGCATGCGACAAGCCCGAGGTCCTAGGCAACTTCGGCTTTAAGGACCAATGGCTCGGCCTCCAGTGGATTCAAAAAAACATCCAGGCTTTCGGAGGTACGTATCGAGTACCATCTCCGGCTTTCCTATTCACAGTGATTTCATGTAGGAGACCCTAACAATTTGACGTTGACCGGATTGTCTGCCGGTATGAGCGCATATAGTCACTTGCTCGCCTTCGCACTGAACATGTCCCAGGAGCACACTCCGTCCATCAGCTCTTGCACCACGCATCGCGTCTTCCAGAAGGCGTGCCGGCCCCATTCCATCGCGCAATCTTGCAATCGAACGCAATCGCGTACGTCGATTTGTAGACGATCTTCCTGCCCTCCCTGACGATCTATGCAGAACGACTCCGAAGACCACATCCGAGTTGCGCTCCCAGTACGCCGCCTTGTGCGGCGCGCTCGACCTCGATCCGACGTCCCCTGTATCCCTTGACACTCTCCGGGACACGACCTCAGTCCCCTTCGCCAAGCTCACCCACCTCATCGAGACCGACGCGGTGGGAACCGAGTACGGCACCTACCGCGGGGCCTGGGAGCCCGTGTGGCTCGGGCCCGAGGACACGATGGACTGGCAGCGCTCTGGGGGACTCGCGCGCGGTCTGCGCGCCCACGGCGTGCGGAGCGTCGTCATCGGGGACCTCTCGGAGGAATGGTACTTGTACTCGATCGCCCACCCAGTGTCGACCCTGGCCGACGTCGAGCGCAACCTCGAGCGGTACTATCACACGGACGTCGTCAAGAAGATGCTCAAGATCTACCTCGCAGAGAAGGGCGAGCCCGCGACCCCGGAAGAGGCCGCGCGGGCGTTCGGCGAGGTGCTGAGCGAGGGGCAGGTGCACCTCCCGGTGCGGCTGTTCGCGCGCGACATGCTCGCGGCCGGGTTCCCGGTGGTGCGGTACGAGATCAGGTGGACGCCAGAGCAGCTCCGCCCGCTCGGTGAGTGGCTTTTATGACCGTTTCGGGATCGTCGCTGACGCCGCGCGGGGGCAGGTTATGTGACGCACGCGACGGACCGCGCGTTCTGGGCGCTCAAGACGGAGTGGATGACACCGGAGCAGACGGCGGTCGCGCGCGCGTTCCTGGACGCGGTCGACGAGCACATCGTGACTGCGGAGGAGGGTCGGCCCATGGGCCTCAAGACGATCCTTGCGCTCACGGAGGACAAGAGAGTCGTGGAGGAGGAGGACGTGAAGTGGGATCAGATGACGCGCATGCGGACGACGCTGCCTGGGGAGTATTAAGAGATTGGCTGACGACGTATGCGCGTATCGAACAGTAAATGGCACCCCGGAGATTGAACTCGGCCACATTACTTAGGAGTCCGCGGCCGTGAACTACGAGCGGTATCTGCTCTCCTGTGGCGGCTACATAGGGCTATCCCTCACGTTCACGTCGCGACGCGGTGTCGTTGACGGGAAATTGCAGTGGCTGAAAGGATGAACCTCGTACTTGCATCCCTGCAGATTGTACATGACACTACCTGAGCTTTACTGGGCCGCGAGCTACGGTGGGGTCGTTGAGCGGGTGGCCTGGGTGACGGGTACTTGCCAGAAGGGCCAGTGCCGTCGAAGCGCGGTGATGGAGAAAAATGGGCCCGCCGGGGCGAGGTCGAGCACGGCTGCACACGTGGCGTATCGGTAGGGCGGATAGCGGCGAACGCAAAGCGAGACTGGAACCAGGGGTATCGGGATTCAGAAGCACGTACCAGGGGTTGGTTTTATAGTACTCGTTCTGAGGTCGGTTGCCGGTCAGGTTTATGAGATCCTAGCTACTGTGCATAGTACTACTGGTATCTTTAAATAATTTCAACGAGGCCAATGCCTGCGCCACTATCATGTCATCACGTGCCACTGCATGGGCGATTCAGGACTCAGTACTACTCAGGCCTCAGGCCTCAGGTCTCAGGAGCTCCGGTGGATCCTCCTCCTCCTATCGGTATCCATAACATGCCACCCTCTCAGTACAATAAACTGAGCCCCTGCTCTCGCTTCCTCACCTTTCCCTCGCACAACGATGCCGGAGCTTCCTCGTTATTCGGAGCTTGTGCCACGCATCATTATCGTCTCAACTCTGCTCCACAATGCTATTGCCGACGCTACCCTCACCGGGCTCGGGGAGTCTCCAGAAGATCTTGCCCTCACCAGTGTGTGGAAAGCCATCGCATTTCTTCTAAGTCCCGGCGATGGACGCAACCAGGGTGCGAATAAGGCGGAGGCCGTCGCAGGTATCAGGCTTTCAGACGTCATCACTGCATTCGTCGTGCCACCGAACACCGACTGGAGCGGGGGTTCCGGAACGCCGCGAGTGTTCAAATCCAACAGAGCCGACGGCCAACCGCTTTTGCACGCCTCACTTACGTTCGTCCAGAGGTGCGTTGTTCATTGATATCCTCGGACGAGTTCCTCAATATCCTGTGCAGCGGCTCTTTGGACTTCGCAGCTCGCATTCAAGGCATCCTCGACATCGTCCAGTACTTCGCGGACCCCCCGGTAGTTCGCCGCGCCGCGGGTTACCTCGGCGCCGGCAGAGACATACGTATACGCGGCTAATGCTCATCGCACAAGTGACTTGGCAGGCGAACGGATGCGAAGAAGTGCAAGAACCAGCACGATTGTATGTGGAATTACTACACAACAAATATCCCACGTCCAGACACCCGGGGAGACCATTTCACAACGTGGCATCGACCATGCACCTGCAACGAGTGGATGACGGTATATATAAGTCACGGATATAATTTGACTGGGTGAAAACTCACTGTCGACAATCAGTAGTCCGGCATGGCCTCAGCACGCTGATAGTACATCGCCCGGGCGAACTTCTCAACCCAGTTTCTGGCGTCACCGTGAGGGAGTACCATCTCGGGATACCTAGCGAGTGGGATAAGCTTCTCAAGGAAGCCTATCTCACGCAGCATCCTCTGAAGCTCGACATCTGTCACGGGATTAGTCTCGGGAATGGGAGAGTTGAAGCCGCATCACCTACTAGTGTGTACTGCAACGATCCGGCTGTCTTGCTCGTGAAGATATGTCCCAAGGAAAAAGGGGACATCGACTTCCGGGTCGGCAGGACCGGCTGCAGCTACTATTTTCTGCGCCGCGGTCCGAGTGAGACCACACTGTTCGAGGGCTTGGAGAACAGCGTCAGGAAGGTGCGACAGCAGCTATCTCCACAGAGATACTCACCATCGGTCGTTTTTTCGACTGTCCACATTGTGTCGGAATGTACGGTGCACCTGGCGAGCTGCGGATAGAGAGGGTGCTGAGGAGTGATGGGGAGAATAAGAAGAATGAGGCGGCTGGCAGAAAGCTTATATGCCAACCCCTTGATTACGTAATGGTGGTGTCTGTTCTCACGGAGAATAAGAACTCAATTGTGACTAGACTGGTCTGCGCCTCGCCACTCCGCAGCTATTCATGCATCAAACCTTGAGGCGCACACATACTCGGCTCGTGGGAGTGCAGAAGCGGAGCACACACCGCATTCAGGCCTAACAACGTGCTCCGATCAGGCGAGCGCTAGCCTTACAACACACTGGAGACGCTTCAGGATGCTTCCTCAAGCTTCATCATCTCCGTCGTGCACACAAAGCTGACTCACAGCCTTTTCTTCCAAGTACTACTGATCAGACGGATCTCGTCGATATCGAGGACACGGCAGCCGGCGTAGGCTCGGTAGAGATCACCAATGCTTGAACAAGTGCGCGTTTCGAGTGGCTACTGATCGATAGCCTCTACTAGCACAGAAATCATGCTTATTTCACACCAAGTAGGTGTTAAGAATGATTTGATTCTGACGACCACAGAAGCACGAGCACAGGCCAGGTTGGGACATACGCTGACACAGCCCCACCCACTTCTGGTGAGCCTGTTGTGGTGACTCCGCTAGACCCACGCTTCTTTTGGTCGGCTACGGGTTCTTCTGGACGGATGCGAAGACTCAATTACAACGAGACGAATACAACAGTCAATCAAGCTGAAGGCGAGCGTAGGGACCACCCCATATTCGTCTGAAGAAGTCGGGCACACACAAGGCGGCGGCGTGCTGCTGTTTTTCCGAATGCCTCGCGTCACAAGGGACATGACTAGAAGCACATCGTATATGGCGAAGTACGCAACATACCGATAGAGATCACAGCCTGAGTGTGCTTATATACAGTGGGGGCTGGTGGGTGAGGTTCGTGCATCCACCGCTCACTCCGAGTCTCATCATCCCACCACTCCGTATCATGAAGTCATCCAGCATCACCGTATGGCACGGCACTTTTATCAGTCCCACCTCGCCTCCATGGACCGATGTTCACGATGTCGAGTCCATCTCAATCAAGAGACAACAGGCCACCGACTTCTCTGCCCACCGGGTCGGCTTCTATTGCGCCTTGGAGCGTGAGGACGCCGTCAAGTGGGCACGTTCCATTGCCTTGACCAATACCCCCGTCCTGAAGCAGTACCGCCTCAATATGACTGGGCTTAAAGTCGCCAATCTGGGCACAGAAGCGTCTGAAGAATGGATATCGGTGAGCCATGCTTGTGACAACTGCTGTGCCTCTATCCCGCCTGTCTCATCCATACTCGTCTTCCTGCAGGTCCTTAAGTGGTCCTACAACAACGAAAACACAGAGAAACGGCTCGACTATCCCGAATACGTCGGATATGATGTGATAATTGGTTTGATGTCCTCAGGGCTCAAAGCCGGCGGTCAAGTTGGTGAGCCACATCTAACGTTTATCATACCAGCCCAGCGAGTCATCCAGCATTGATGCAAATTGATTAGATATCCGGCCCCTGCAGTTTTCCGGCAGGCCGGGGCCCATGGTCCAGATCGCGCTCTTCACCAAAAAAGCCATCGATCAGCTGGAGTTCGTCAGCGAGGAGGAACTCGCCAAGGCCCGTAACTGGTGGGATCCTTAGTGGGCTGGCATACAATTACACACCACCCCGTTGTTCGTCTTGAAGAAATGTGTTCTCATGTCAAATGTATTCCCGCCGATGTTCTGACCTACCAAATTCTCCAACCTCGCGCCTTGGCTCACTGTGCGACGTAACTCTCATCCCTCAAGAAAGGCTGTCGACCATCGACGACTGCTGGAGTGATATACCATCTCGGTCGGCTTAAGATACTCTGACACACACTCGAGAAGGGCCGTGTCATACTGGTATAGTCGCCTTAATCCACTATCCCTTGATATCCTCGTGTATCCCGATGCGTGTTCGAAGAAAGCACTGAGGAGAGTCGAATCAGTCTCATGGGAGAACAGACGCACAATCGACGCACTCGAAGTTGCCCGCTAGTCATCCATCGGAAGACGACGAACGAGGGGCATGTCTTTGATGGCGTGCCAGGACAGCGATTTCCATTTCTCGGGGTTCGTCTTCGCGTCGTGAAAGTACGCGAACGCGAGCGCGGTCTGGCGCGCGCAGACCTTGGCGGAGATGCCGCCAACCCCAGTGCCAAAGCCGGTGATGCCGACCGACCGGATGGGGGCGAGACTCGCGTCAGCGGCCGCTTGACGGTTGTGCCGGTCAATCTCGACAAGGAGGGACCAGACGCAGTTGTGCACGATCTCCTTGTGCCACGAGACGGAGGCCGGGAGGCGCATTGTCGGACATAGCGCGACATAGCGGCATCCCACCCGATTCGCAGAGCACGGAGTATCGGTGAGCGGGACGAGGGTGCAAGTTCCTGGGGGTGCGAACCCGACCCAGCGCTCGTAGAGGACGGCCTGCGCGACGCGCGTCAGAGCGGATTGGTCCTCCGGGGGCGCGAGAGTCTCGGTGAGGATCTGGTCGAAGCTGCGGGGGAGTCAAGGCTCAGTGCTATCCTGAATGGCGCTCGGTCACCTACCCCCCGTCGAACCTGCCAAAGGAGTTGGCCGGCGACACGAGACAGTCGAACGTTGTGGTCATGTCCTTGAAGCTGGTGTGGACGAACGAGGTGTGATCCAGGAGATCAGATGGGACAAGAGCCTGAAAAGAGCCCTTCCACTCATCGACGAGGTCCTCGTCGATGGAAAAGAGAGTGAATTCCACGGCTTGCATGGTTCGAGGAAAGGTCGCGGTCGAGAAGGCGGTCGGCGCCAATTCAGGGGCAGTGGCGAGCGAGCCCACATTCCCACATTCCCGGCAATCGCCGGACCCACGTCGTGTGGTGTCGTTATCCTTTCATTGTTGGCTGCGGCCTTCGTTCTCCTACCTACGCCTTGACTCTTGTCGGAGGTACTTCTTGGCGCCATGCACAAACGTGGCTTCGAGACGAAGCGACAGGTTAGAGCTCGTTTTTGTGTTCCTGCATTGAGGTTGTGTCTGAGGACTTGCATCAAGGTTTGTGAAGGAACGGTCCGCTTGAGATATCGTACCTACTATGAGGTCGGCGGGGGCTGATCATAAACGAGAGTGAGTTTTCATCTGTATTTTCCGCAAGTGTTGCAGCCGAGGAACGTAAAAGGATCGTGCTCGCGGCCTCCGACAAACATCGGCTGCAGCGCAGAACACCGTGGCGGGGCAATAGTAAAGCGTCGTCCCAAAACAAACTTGGCCCCCTGACCGCGCTCCTCAGCCAGGCCAACGCTCTTTACGCGCAGCGCGCTCGCGCTCGCGCTGCAGACGACCCTCGGACTGCAGAGCGCGATACAGACGTGGCGACGACGATGAGGCGGAGGCAGTAGTCGCGCGCCCGGAGCTCATCGTCCGCCGGTACGTTACGGAGGAGGAGGAAGAGCGCGAGGAGGCGAAGGAGCAGTGAAAGTGGGAGTGCAGGCGGCTCACGGACCATCGTGCTCCAGCGGCGCACGATGGTCGCAGGCGCAGTGATTGTGCTCGGCGTCGCGGTCACAGTGTACGGACTGAGTGCGGGGGTGGCGCTGGGGAGCAATGGGCATCCGCAGCATTCAGTGGGGAGGAAGACGGGGGAGCATTCGTGGGGCGGGGAGGGTTTTGGATGGACTAGTCAGATCTTGGTCGCACGACTTGTCGTTGGCTGCTGCCATCCCATTGTGCTACTACTATACATAAAGCAAAGAACCCGATATAAGACCTCTCAAGACTCCTCCGGCTTCGTTGGAGTGTCGAGGCGGGCACGGAGGACCTTCCACCTGGCTCGGATGTCCTTAGAGCTTTCTCTTGCAATGCCAACGGTAGCTTTCAGAGGCGTCCATTGATTAGATGCACTGCCTTGCGCAGCGGCTTCCAAAACCCCCTTCAGTGCATCCATCAGACGCCTCGCCATCTTCGTCAACACGTCCTCCGGAAGACCCGATGGAGGGTACCACGGGAGGACCGTGGAATGCGTGCCGGGGAGAACGAATTTGACAGACGCCGCTGAAGGAGAGGACGAATCCTTTTCAGCGATTACCTGTGCGAGAAGGGAACAGCAAAAGCAGCTCTTCTTGGTGACACCGAACGTGATTTCGTCGTGCTGGATGGACGAGACCGGTCAACAACCGCAACAGACGAGCGATGTCGTAGCCTTAATGTTAACACGGAATGTATCAGATCACGAGCTTCCTGTGATCGCTCCTCAATGGCCCCCCTGTGCACCAACAGGGCGGAAGTTATAAGCAAGGCCTCTGCATGCACTTTCGCCTTGATAGACCCTTCGTCCCACGGCTGTTCCAGTATAAATGGAAAATCCCGAGGGTCCGCAGGATGACCGAGAAGGCGAGAGCGAGTAGCGGACGCCTTCTTCCACAACTCTTCGAGTTTGCCGAGAAGGTGTGGGTGCTGGGGCAGCTTGAACTCCGAAGGGATGTCCTTCACGTAGACCGCGTTCACCTCGACCGGGTCGTTCGTGGTCTGCGGCCTCTGTTTGGAAAATCTAGACAGGATTTCCAAGATGGTGAGGGGAAGGAAGATAACGGACGAATCGGTCCCCCGGTGGCTCGTCGGGGTTGGCAAATGCATCTGGCACTAAACTTACTATCGTTAGCTCGGACAGCGAACGTGAATTATGAAAAGCACATACGCCCCTTGTCGTCAGTAGCTCTAGCGTCGGCCGCGCCTGGTCATTTAGTAAGTCAACTACAGGTCAAGCAGAATGTGCAGAAGGCACGTACTGTTTGGTGTGGCTCCCGTGCTGTTCATTTTGTCTTCGGTGAGACCCTTCATGATCTCTGACCGCAAATCAAACAAATCCATTCACGAAACCTCCAAGATATGCACTTACGTTCCACCGTGCATTTTTGTCGCTCTTGCTAGAAGGCGTGCTCGCGCATGGTACGGAGGTCGACCAGAACTCGGGGACTAAGGAGGGCCTCGACGACGTGGCTGCAAGCCAGGATCTCGTGCAAGACGTGCATCGCATCGAACAAAAAGTTGTACTTGTCCGACAGGGCGAAGCCAGAGAGCGAAGTGTCCTTGCGCAGGTCGTCCAGAGTTTCCCTCATGTCTCCCACGGAGTCCATCACCACCTTCGCCCACTGGCTCGCGTTCTGGTTCGTAACAGAGTATGTGAGTTCCGAGTCCGACGGGTCGCAGTCAGATGGCGTGAGACCCGCTCTCTCCAGGTCGGACCGCATGAAGCTGCGGAACGAGACGCTTCTCCCGGGAGGTCGGATGTGCGTTTGTGGGTGGAATGGAGGACGTGGTAGATGTGGGTCGTGGGGTGGTTCGCATTGAGGTCAACCGGCTCAGCCTGTTCGCCCTGAGCCTGTTCGGCCAGCTTGCCCTGCCCGACCGGGGCACCCTTGCGTATCCTGCTCCGAGTTCCGTGCTTTCTCGTCTCGCCCTCCTGAACCGGCTGGGCTCGTTCAACCTGCTTGCTCGTCTTCGACTTGTCCTTCTTCGCCTTGCCCTTCTTCGGCGTGCCCTTCTTGCTCGTCTCGGCCTCCTGAACCGGTTGGCCTCGTTCCAGCTGCTTGCCCTTCTTCGGCCCGTCCTCCCTGCCCAACTCCATCTGTGTAGACTCCTCGCCTCGGCTCTCCGCGTCCGTGCTCTTGGGGATCCACAACTTGTCGCCGTCTTCGATGCGAGAAAGGAGCTTGGAGTAGGAAAATCCGACGATGAACGTAAAGAGACAACGAATGGCCAAGCCCTCATAGCGACGTTCCGGGGGGGGCGGAAAAATACCGGATGATATGGAGAACGTCTTGAATGTGGGTCTCAAAGTTCAAAGCGCCTCTGTTTGTGGCATTAAGCGAATGGTCTGAAGAGGAGAGTGGAACGCACCTCTATATCGAAACGTATGACCGGTGTAGAAGGGCCCAACCTCGTTTGGGGTCACGAGAACTGAACACTTGTGGCGAGGCGCCATCTTCGCGCGAGTCGGTGTTGCGGGATATGAACCGTGACAGTTATGGCCCCCACTTCCACGGTTCCTGCGACAGCCACCTCCTCCTCGTGAGCGGCCCGGTCATCGGTGCCCCCAAGGCCCAGGGGGGACGCGAGGGCATCCCATACGTCGGAGAGATAGATTTGAGCGTCTTTGAGCCGGGGGGACCTGGTGGCAAGGACGGCGTGATGGAGTAGAGTCGAGACGATGATGATTTGCGACACAAGTTCAGGAAACGGAGGGGCGGCCGATGCCATTGGGACAAGAGAGTGCGGTGGGAGGTATCAGAGCAGTGGTTCCAGTGTGAGGAACGGCACGTTATGCGTAGAGAGAAGAAAGGTTGGACTAGTGTTCGCGCACCAGACCGGGACATTATCTTATCTTGCACCGAGCCCAATCTATTGGCGTCTACCGTCTGACATCGTCCGGGTTGCGAGGGGGGTTGCGCTCACCTATACCAGTTGGATGGAGTTTTATTTGCTTATGATACATAATATGTTTGGAGTAGTCTACTGTTTCATCCCGGGTTGGACCGGCCTTTGTCCCCGAGTTGAACGGGGTATATGTGTGCGTCTTGCAACAACAGTGTTGGGCTGCTGCTCTCTGTTAGGCTGTCTAGCCATCTACTTTACGATTGCGTCTCCTGCTCGACTGCCGCTTCTGCCGCCTTTAGCGCTACCTCCATTCCTTCCAGCAGCCTCCCCCGGTCCTCCAGCCCCACGCTCACCCGCACCAGCCCCTCGTCGACGCCCCAGCTCGCGGCCCAGTCGAGCTCGAGGTAGTGCGCGAGGATCGTGTACGGGCACGCGAGCGTAAAGTTTGTGCCCAAGCTCGGGCCCTTCAAGCACGGCATCGCGTCGAAGAACGCGCGCGACGCCGCGGTGGACGCGAACGTGAGGGAGAAGAGGCCGCCGTAGCCGCCGCCGGGGAGCCGCCGCCGCTCGTAGTTCGCCGCGGACTCCCACTTCGGATAGTGCACGAACTTGACGGCCGCGTTCGGTGGGGGCACCGGGGCGACGAGCGAGCGCGCGCGGAGGAACTCGCAGACGGCGAGCGTGTTCGCGTCGATCGCGGCGACGCGCCGGCGGAAGTCGCGCGAGTTGCGCTCCATGTAGATCGCGTCCTCGGCGAAGTACGCGTCTTCGTAGGCGGAGTCCATGTGCGCCTTCAGCGCGGCGTAGTGCCGTCCTTGTGGGTTCAGGACCAAGCTGAGGAACGGTTCAGCGATGAGTCGTAACAAAAAGAAGGACAGCGCACCTGCCGCCCATGACGTTCGCGTCCCCGGAGAAGATCTTGCTGAGGCTGCTGACAACCATGTCGGCGTACGGGAGGACCTCGACGTTGACAAAGTTTCCGATCGTCTCGTCCACGACGATCAGGAAGTCGTATTCGTCTGCAAGTCTGCGTAGCCGCGCCAGATCTGCACAGCGCAGGAGCGGATTCGAAGGGAACTCGGTGAAGAGCGCGAGGGCAGGGGGACTTGACGGGTTCGCCTCAAGCTCACGCTGCAGCGTTGCTTCGAGGGGGTCGATGTCTTCGTCGAGGCCGTTCCCAAAGAAGTGGCAGCCAGGCCCCCACTTCTCGAGGATCTTGAGAGTGTCCGTATACGGGAAGCTGTGTCGAGATGAGTATATGAAGGCGAGTTGAACATCGCCGCACGTACCCGAAGCATATGCTCTTTGCCGCGGGCCGCACTGCCAGTGCGAGTTGATGGGCACTCCAGATCGCCGACATGCCGGTGGGGTACAGGAAAACGTCGTGCTCCGTCACACCT